TCCTCAGCCAGCAAAGCTGGCTGAGGAACTCTGGGAGTTGAAGTCCACAAGTCTTAAAGTTGCCAAGGTTGGACACCCCTGCCTTACACCATTTTAGGCAAACGGTTGTCCAATCTCTTCTTAGAAACCTCCAGTGTGGGAGGTTTAAAACCTCCTTTAAAACACCGGCAGTGAAGCATACAAAGTATGTTGAGACTTGGGGAAAAGGGCAGAGAAGAGCAACTAAAATGATTAAAGGTCTGGAGGTGAAAATACACAAAGAACAGTTGCAGGATTTGGATGTAGCTAGTCTAGCGAAAAGAAGGAGGAGGCGGGACATGATAGCAGCATTCCAGGATTTGAGGGGCTGCCCCAAAGAAGAAGAAGAGGGAGCCAACTTATTTTACAAAGCACCAGAAAGCAAGACAAGAAGCCATGAAAACTAATCAAGGAGAGAACTAAGAAGCTTCCTAACAGTGAAAATAATTAAATCGGTGGAACAGTCTTTTACAGTTGTGTTTTGGGTAGGTTGGGCTATAGTTTCTTTTAGCGTGAAGACCGATGCAAAGAACGAGTTAAGCAGCTCCGCTTTCTCTCTGCTGTCTGTTACTTCCTTGCCATCTTCTCTCTTTACTGTTTCCTTTATTATTTTTTTCTTGTTATTTATACGCTGGAAGAAACTTTTTTTTTATTATCTTTGGCTTTTGTTGCAAGTCTTTGTTCATGTCTGAGCCTTTGCTTTCCTGAACTTCGTCTTGGCAGATTCTGACTATCTGCTGATAATTCTGCCATAGTTGTGTTGTCCCTCTTTCCATTTTTTTCTACTTGTCCTCTTCTAGGGGTTTCCAGGTCTGTGGTGGAGGGGGGGGGGAGCAGTTTACACCTGCAAGAGTAACCTTCACCCCGCTGGATCTCTTTCTTTGCACAGACAAAGAAGAGGAGAGCAGGCCGGAGCCACTCCTGGCGGGAGTGCCGCAAGAACCCGCCTGCTGCCAGCCGATGAAAACAGCTGCCATCCTCCCCTCTTCTGGTCTACCACCCTGGCAGGTGGAGCTGGAGTCAGCAGGACAGATGGGGGGTCCAGGTGAGGAAAGCCTCGCCCCTCGCTTTGGGGGGGTGGGAAGGATCTACTGGCCACCCCCCATTTTTGCACTCTGCCCTCCAGCCCTCAAAAGGAGGCCGAAGGAGCCCTCCAGAAGACGTTGTGGACCCAAGAGCAGCCAGTCGCTCCAAGGTGCACACAGACCCCCTTCAAAGACCCCTGGGGCTCACTTATGTTTCTTTGGGGGGTGTGGGGGTGTCTTAGCATCCAGTTCCAAGGCTGAACTCGCAGCAGATGGGCATCCCCTGGGGAGGCAAGTCAGCAAAGCCAGCAGCAGCAGCAGCCGAGTGAAGTCCCGCACCTTGCCCAGCGTGCCAAAGCTCCTCATCCCTTCGTCCGTCTCCAAATTCCCCCCTGAGATCACCGTCACTCCACCAACGCCCACCCTCCTGTCCCCAAAGGGGAGCATCTCGGAAGAGACCAAGCAGAAGCTGAAGGTGCAGCCTGTCGTTGGGGGAGGGGGTTCTGGGCTGAAAGGGCGGTGAGGAGGGGAAGCGGCAGAGAACGGCCCCCTCCCTCCAAACCGTGGGGTAACCGCTGGTTTTCTCCCCCCCCCCCCCAACGCATACAGAAGAGCTGCCATTTCTGCTCTGTGCTTGGGGCTATTCCTCCCCCCAGGAGGGTGGTTCTTGTCCTCTGGACCAAAGGGGCTGTTTCTGATGAGGGGCTCAGACTAGTAACTGACACCCACACACACCCTTCCCAATTTCTTCTTCCGGAACAGTCTGCGATCCTTTCGGCCCAGTCCGCAGCCAACGTGAAGAAGGAGAGCCTCTGCCAGCCTGCCCTGGAGGTGGTGGAGACCTCCAGCCAAGAATCTTCTCTGGAGAGCGACTCCGAAGAGGAGGAGGGCGAGGAAGAGGAGGAGGAGGAGGAGGAGGAGGACAACGACTGCATGGACATCTGAAGCACCTGGGCTTCTCCCAGGGAGGCTGGGGTGGGGGGTGGGGGGGTGGACGGAAAGAGGGCCTTGCCTGCCTGCCTTCCCACTGCCTCGCTTGCCTGGCCTCTGCCACTGCTGCTTCCACCCACCCCCAGGATGCCATTGTGCCCCCCACCCTCCCTCCCCTGGGCCAGTAAACGCTGCCCTGGCAACCCTTGGCATGCCGTTCCTGCTCCTGGCCCCCTTGCCTGGCTCTGCTGGGGGGGGGAAGGAACCTTCAGCCACGGCTGAGCAGGGCCTAGAAGCAGCTGCGCCCCCCAACCCCTGCACCCTTCGCCTTTCGCCTGCTTCTCTCGCTGCTGCCTGAAAAGAAAACCCCAGCCGAGCTGGCCGTTTGTTTGCATGAAGAGGCGTCGGTCGGTTGGGGCATCACTGACCGAGAAATTGGAATGGTTTTCGGTACCATTTTGATAATGTCTGTTTTTTTTACAGAATGACACAAAAAAAGTGTATGTACATGCTTTGTTTTTTAAGTCGCTGTGGGAAGATTGGTCGCATATACACGGGAGACAATGAAGAAGACCAAGGATTTTTTTCTACCGAATGTTGTAATTTGTAGCATAATTAATGCAAATCCTGCACAGGGACCAGGATGTGTGTCACTTAAAGCCTAAAGTTTATCAGGCTGGGTTTCAGTCTGTTGGGGGAGCCGTTGTATAAAGGGTGCAATGTAGAGCTTTGTATAAATACACATTTTTCTAATAAAGTCAAAACACGTCTCCTTTTTGCCTCCCAATTCTTTCTGTCTGCAACAGGGGTGTCAAACCTCCAGTCCACGGGGTGCTTAGATCAGGAAACGCCCCGGAAACAGCGAAGGTCTGGCCCTCAGCGCCTCTGCCAGGGAAAACGGAGCTCAGGAGTCTCCGAATCTTTTTTTTGTATTGTGACCAGAACTAGATACACTCTTCCAAATGTGGTTCTACCAGCGCAAAGCGACACTTATCACTTCACATAATTTTGATACTGTCACTCTGTTGATGTAACCTGAGAATGTGTTGGCTTTTTTGACAGCTCCAGGACACTGCTGGCTCACACTGAAGTGACTGTCCGCTAGGGACCCCTAAGTCCCTTCCACGATTACTCCCGTTTGACCAGGTACACCACCCCTTCTATCCTTACACATTTGCTTTTTCTTTCCTAAGTTTAAAACCTTGCGTTTCCCACGACTGAGTTGCATTTTGTTGCATAGGGACCAGGGTTCAAATCTGTGGAGAGCCTTCTGAATCTCAAGCCTGCCTTCTAAAGAGTTGGCTATTTCCCACAGCTCGGTGCCATCCACAAAATTGATGAGTCCCACTTCTAGCTCCTCATCTAGGCCATCCAACAATCTCTGGGCACCTGCAGAGGCTCCGTCCTCTGGGCCTCGGGGCTTTGTTCCTCATCCAGGGGCCAGTTCTGTCTGGCTTCTCTGATTCTTCCCCTGAATGAAAGGGGGGGGGCACTCCGGGATTTTGAAGACAGCGCAAGGGAATCATAGAATCATTGGGGGAGGGGAGGTGTTGGGGTTCACTGCATTCACCACTTTGGTTGGGCTTCTCCATGAGGAAAGCTTGATGTTATACAGAGGTCCAAGGCCCATGGGGTGCTTTGACCTGGCCCGCAGAGCCACCCTGGAAACGGAGGGACCCCCAACACGAGTGACGTCAATCTGGCCACGCTCATTCAGCCCCCACCCCCAAGTAAAATACAACCGTAATGGGTCCCTCAATAGAATCGAGTTTGACACCCCTGTTGCAGAGGGTCTCGTGGGAGAATAGATGGAATGCTCAGAATTTTTTCCCATCTTTAAAATGGAATGTTTAAGTCTGTTTTTTCCAAGTAGAAAAACCTCTGACAAGTCAGAATTGATTCATGCCTGGCATTCGGGCCGTTGGCAGATGTAGATTTTCTGTGAGGTTTATCTTGGATAAACAAGCAAGTCAGCATGGATTCAGGCTACATTTTATAGGTCTTATTGTGGGATCTAGATTCCTAATTCTCTTATTTTAGGAGCTCTTTTGCCTGAAAAAGCAATAGTAAAATAACCACGTACAATTTCAGGTTAAAGGTGGCATGATAAGTGCACTAGGAACCTTTCTCATGGGACCTGTGTTCGAATATGTGCATGGTTGTTAAGCAAAGGAATGACGCCTTGTTTCACTTTGGCTCCCTGTAAATACCCCCGTGCTCCAAAGGGCCATATGGGCAATTAAAGAGACCTGAGCATGAAAGGGCTCCGTTAAATAGTCAGGGAATGATCTCCTGGGCTAAGTACCTCTTAAGAAAAAACTCACATTAAAGGGAGACAAGCTATCAATATGCACCACATCAATAGGTATTGAGCAAATTAAAAGCTGCTTTCTTGCACACGTTACTTCACTTTGCTGTCTAAAACAAAAACAAAAACAAATTGAAAAGCTAAGCACTCAAGTGGGGGAGCAACCACAGAGAAAGAGTAATTTTCCCCCCACAGCAATTGTTTTCATCTTCTTTCTCCTCCCAGCCCCCGTTTGATCTCCATGCAGCCGTTTCTACTTGGCGGCGCACCCTCCTCACAACGGAATCAATCGCCTGCCCTTCCAGCTCATCGGCCCCAATTGCTGCAAGGAAGATGAAGAAACGAGCCTCCAAATTCTTGGAAGCTTCACAAGATCCTCCTTTACTCATTCAAACTTCGATCAGAAGGGAGAATGGAAGTTCTTCCTAAAAAGATAAACATTTGGCCTGCAAGATCTTCCCATTTTCCTGTCTGCGTAAACTACTGTTGGAAGAATTATCCTTCTGGGTTCAGTTCCAAGTGGGGAGAAAGACACTGGAAACATGGAGGCTATTTGGAAAGATGGTTTAATGGTGGACAGGACCACATGGTTTGAGGTCCTGGGCAATTGAGCACATGGGTGAGAGAGAGATAGAGAGAGAGAGAGAGATTTATACCCTCCCTTGGGCTTTGAGCTTGCTTCCTGTTCCTGTGGGAAGGGCACGTGTTCTGATTGGTTGTGTCAGAGCGTTTGGCAGTGTGACTACCTTTATGAGATAACCCAGGAGCAAAGTACAGCACACAGAGACTTAGACATTAACAGTGGTTTAATATACAACAGATATATACAGACAACATACATGTGGTAAGCAAAATACCTTTACAAAGCAAGCTTTTCTTCTTCCTAACACACAGAAAACTTCTGCACTGAACACTGGCCACAAGGAAAGAGAGCTATGCCCTCTAATGGCTTCCTTTTATATACACACCTCTTAAGGGGAACTTTACTCTCCAGCCTTAAAGGGAAAATACTAATACTCTGCTGAATCACTCTTGTTACATTAGCCAGACTTACATCAGCTTCACAGCATATAGCAGCTATTCTCTGCTGGTCAGTTCTTAAATCCTAATTTAAGGTTAACAGGTCGTTAGACTCCCATGGGGCCATGCAGGGGTAACTTTGTAGGCTGTCTTGAATCCCAAGCTCGGTTGAATCTTGCTGGGTGATGCAATCTTCCCAGGGGCCGTGTGGTGAGATAGCTAGAGGGCTAATCCTATGATGTCCTGAGGGTGAAGGTCTTTTTTTTTGTAGATAAGCTGGCCCAGCATTTTGTCTTGTAGATAGGTTGGCACCAAAATATCTGCTTGGGAGAGAGCTGAGGCTCTTGAGTTTATGTCTTTAGAAACACGTTTCTCCTTCAGGGAAAATATAACATTCTGCCTTTTTAATATTTCCTAGAATATTTCATTTTTCCAGGAGAAGGATGGCTGCTAACTTTCTACACTACTGAAAAAGTATCTTTGGTGTTTGGCCTTGGTGATGTGGCACACTCAATTTTAAACACCCCCCATAATTTTAGCCAAAGTAGGGAGGGGAGAAACCCACAGGATTAATGGCCGAGGTTAAGCTAAGCCGAGGGCTTAAATTCAACCCACCCACAGACCCCCCTCACATCTCTGTTTTTGGAGGAGGATCCCCTGTAGCCTTGGCCTCATTCAAGTCCACCCTGCAGGCAGCCTAAATTCATCCCTTGGTTGCAAGATTGGAACTGGGTTTTCTGGCTTCTTCAACAGAATATTTAGCACACGAATGATCACGTATCACTTACGATCTTGGAAATAACGCGGTGAGTCTAGCATTTGCCAAGGTCCCGCTGGCCTGTGGAGGCTGCTATGAAATGCTGCTTCTCCATTTCCGCCACCGGTCACTGTCTGCCAAGGGAAGCCAATCCCCTGATCTCCATGGAGACATCGGCTGGGGTTTTCTTTGGTTAGCCTCCTGAGAAGGCAGGCTCAGGATTCAGAGAGAGACAGACCTGAACACCAGGCCCTTTTCTCAACTATGCATTCAGCAGAGAAGCAAGTAGGAACACAGAACAGGCAGAATGCTGGGCAGAAGAATCACCAACAGCTGCAACAGCTGCCAGAATAGCTAATGCAATGCTGGGCTTGAACAATGTTGGGGTAGACAGCATGGAAGGTGACAGTTCCATTCTACCCTCCTGGAGCCGGTTCTGGTGGCCACAGATAAGGAAAAACACTGAAGACCAGATGAAAGAACCGGGTATGTTTAGCCTAAAAGAAGAGAAGGTTGGGGAAAGGGATCGGTGTTATCTTTCAATCTTTATTCTCTGCAGCTCTTGAGGGCAGCTGAAGAACCTTGATGGGCGGAAGCTTCCCGAGGGAGATCCAGATCCCAGAGGGTTTCAAACGAAGGCTGGAAGGTCATTTGTCAGGGATGGTTTCAGGATTCTTGCCCTGGGCAGAAGGCTGGACTAGAGTAGAGGATCTTTAAGCCATTTCCAGTCCCAAGAGGCTCAAGTCCATGCGTCTGTCTGGGGAGTGCAGCTCTTTAGGCCTCCTGTGGCAATCAGCCACAGCCGTTCTGGTCCTGTGTGTTGAGGTAATTCTCCGTTAGGAGAATGAGTGCATACAGGGAGACGTATTTTGAGAGTAGTGTTTGAATAATACACATACAGCACACAGATACACTGTACAGTAAATGTAGGGTTTTACTTTCAATAAAGGTTTAAGCAAAGTTCAAAATAGGCAGTCCAAAGTCATTCACAGGTTAAATCAGTCCGTTTTCAATCCAGGGATAATTCAATATCAAAGTCCAGTGTCAAAAACAGTTCAGTATCAGACTTACATTAAATCCATTAATATCAGTCAATTAGAAGAAAATGGAGGAACAGCAATATTTTCCAACAGAAGGAAACAGATACTCACTCAGACACACTCTCTTCTGAGACTAAGACTAAGACAACCCAGGTTTCTGGCTCCATCTTATGGCCGTTTGAGTAACCACACCCAATTGCAGTTTTTAGCATTTTCTTAAAGATACAGATTTAAAATGTCTATCCTGGTTTATATATTTCTAACCCAAATAGCTGTTAGGTGACCCATATTCCTAACACTCTGGTTGCATCTCTCTGGTGGCACAAACCAAAACAGCCGTGAAAGGAAGTTGGCAGCAAGAGCCAGTCTGCAACTGATGGAGGCCCAGAGCTGATCTGATCTGCCCTGCCCTGGACAGGGACATGCCATACTCACGCAAATGCACCAGGGTGGGGCGTAGAAGAAGGTGGAGACATCACTTCCCCTTTGGATCAGGCCAGCTTGCCTGCTCTAGGCAGGGGCCACGTGGGGGGAACCGGGGGGGGGGACACGCCTCTCCTGCACACAGCCAAGCTTGCCCCCCCCCCAAGAACCCCACACCTTAGGGAGGAGCGCGATTAAGGGCTTCTGTGCAGGTGCCCTTAG